CTCTCTCTCTCTCTCTCTCTCACACACACACACACACAATCAGTTTTATGTCTGTCAGTCTTTCTTCTGTTGTTTGTTCTCCCCCTGATTTTTTCTAAGTATTTTTTTGTGTGCCGAACTGAGCACCCTTAAGTAGTGCCAAACAGTCGGTGGTTCCTCGTTTGGAGTGCCTACTGCACTGTTATGGGGGCCGCTCGGTTTGGGGTGTCTGTGTTGCCTGTCCGTGATGACGGATGTTTCTCGGAGCGACTCCCTGGCTCAGTGGGTGGTGGGAACCAACAGTCTGCGGGGTTCAATCATGATGTGAGTAGGTCATGTGCTGCTTTGCTCCGTGTTGGATGTGTGGACGTTCTCGTCTGCGCTCCGCCGTTGCCCTGCTGCCTGCCCCCGTTGCTTCGCGTGTGGTTCTTTGCAGGTTGATGTGTTCGCTGTGCTGTGTGGCTGTGTTGTTGGTGTTGCCTTGCGCTTCGCTGCTCCGCTGCCGTGCTGCTCATCTGCTGGTCGTGCCTTCCGTGTTTTGCCGCTTGTGTGTCCTGTAGGTTGGTTGCCTTGGAGCTGGTGCCTTGTGCTCCACTCCACGGTTGCCGGAGCTTCTGGTCCGCGCGCCCTGTCGTCCCATGCAGTGCTGTTGCCTGTGCTTCACAGGGTTGCTACCCGCTGCTTTGTTCCGCTTGGGGACAATCTGCCTTCAACATGGGTCAAAGGGTTCATGACCCAAACCATCAAATATGGAGATTCCGCAGATTGTAGAGGGTTCAGCCTCCTGATGAGTCGGTGCAACTCCGACGAAACAATCTATCATCAGCTTTTATTTTTTTCAGTTTGTTTTTTTGTCACATTTTTTTCAGTTGCTGCTTTTGCCTTGTTGTTGTTTTGCTTGCCGCTGCTTCCCGTGCTGCCTGCTGCTGTTTGGTTGCTCACCCGCCTGTCCCATGCCTTCCACCCGATGCACCTTGCTGCCTGTGTCTTTGCCTTGCGTTGTTTGTTTGCCCACCTGCCTGCCTCATGCCCTTCACTCGCTGTCCATGTTGTTGTTTAGCTTGATGCTGTTTCCCCTGTTGTCTGCTGCTGTTTGGTTGCCCCCCCCCCCCCCCCA